CGCACTTAGGTGTTTTGTAATTGTCATGAGACGACTTAAGACATGTTTTGAATCGTAGGGTGTCATTTCGGCTTTAAACCAGTTCATGAAGAAACTTCACATTTCCTGTAGGGATTGTCAGGGTGACATAAATCTATAATTTAAGGTATAAAGTCTGGCTATGTCTGCCAAATAGAGAGAGCCTAATGGTTGGAGATTATGACAACTGGTTGAAACTCACTGTCAGCTAGATCCTATTCTGATTGTCTCTTTTTCTTCTTAGATTTGAAGTCTATTATTTTATAATATTCTTGTTTTGTAATTCTTTATTGTACTTTTTCCACTACATTCCCCTATGTTGCTGTGTCTGATTTGAATTTCTCCTACGGGGGATCAATAAAGGAACATCTTATCTTACCTATTAAAATAACCCAATATGTGTCTGTCACAGGACAACAAGATTTCCTTTTGGTCCATTGGGAGTCATGGCAGTTCTGGCGTGGAAGATGGATTTGAAGGAGACCCACAGCTTTTATGTGAACACAAGCATGACGGAGATGTTCTGGACCTTCAAGTAAGACAATCGTGGGAGTCCAAGCTAATGTATCAGCCTATATAAGTTGTACTAAAGTAAAGAATATTAATATAAAAAACCAGAAGGAATGTGACTGATAGTGAACTTTATGACATTGAGAGGGAAATTGTATTTAATATAGAAAACTTGATCTGTCTAATCTGATCTGTATTTGCGGTGAATCAGTGCCTCCCTAATTCAATTAAACTTTGAAGAGGTCTTTTTAAGTATAAATAATAAAGTTCCTGTTATTTAATTTGTTGCAGGAAACAACTTGAATTCACAATACTTTACATTAGTGTAAATCAAGAGTGAAAGATCATGCAAATGGATGATGCATCACACTTCACTATTAATGTCACATCTTTATTGATTCAAGACGGGCTATAATTTGCTAATTTCACATCTTGTTTTGTCTTTGTTTTGTTTTGTTTCATAGTTTTTGGACCAAGACAGAATTGTCACAGCGTCATCAACTGGAGCAGTCACCATCTTCCGTCACCACCAGAACAGTCAGGTATACACTGGCCGAGTTAGGTCTTTTAGATACACGAGTTTCACATTCAGTGAGCTCATCCAGATCCAGTCTTTCTATGAAGACATCCATAATGAGCCTAAAACACGGGGACAGCCATTCACCAATGAAAATATGTTTGAATTATAAACACTGTTAATGATATTTAGGAAAAGAGCGTCTTTTAAATCCTTGTTCAAGACGAGAATGTGTTGTCACAGACATGGATAAATCTGTGAACTTTGATTAGAGAAACTTTTGACCTGATTATAGCTACAAGGTACACTCACCTAGCTGAGGCCAATTGCCCAAAGTGAAAGACTTAAGGTATGTTATTATTGACTTTATAAACCCTCATTTACCCTTATATAACAAGAAAATTTGGCTAAATTCACATCAACAGACTGGCAGTGCAGATCAGGGGAGTGAATGTTGAACAACCTGTTTAACTGTATATATAACCCTGATGGCTTACCTGGTAGGGCTCTCACCCCGTGTGCCACGGCTGAGTCCTTCTGCAGCAGCCATGGGAGCAACTCTGACCTGTGGCCCTTTGCTGCTCCACTTCAGCTGTCACTATCCATTGAAGGCAATAAAAGCCGCAAAAATTAAAAAATATATATATTACATACTTCATTCATTCTCTGTCTCCAATGCAGACGATATCAGTTTCTCAGCAGTGGGCCAGAGCACATCGTTACCCTAGTGACAACGCTCCCTGTACTGGTGTTGTGTGCAGCAGTCCTGAGATTGTCACAGTTGGTGAAGATGGCCGGATCATCGTCTTCAGAGCTGACCAGGAGGGAGTGATTCGAGTCATAGGTGAGATTAAGATTAAGATGTTTTAGCCAGAAACACCATGTCAGATTAAAACACACGCAGAAGAGAATAATGTCACTAACGTGTTTTTATTTTTTATTATTGGACTGTTTAACCATTGCCAGATAATGCGGACAGCAGCACAATTCACGCTGTGACTTACCTGAGGACAACAGAGATTTTGACTGTGAACTCAATCGGCCAACTCAAGCTGTGGGATTTAAGACAACAAAGCAACTCACCATCCCAGATTCTCTCCCTGTAAGATCTCCTCAGTTCTAACTAAATTATTACATTTGTAAATGTTTACTTTTTCTCTGCTGCTCTTTTCTTAGTGGATTTTGCAGTTTGGCTGATTTTGATTGGAAGCAAATGAAAGAATAGTAATAATTTTTGTTCCTTTCAGGTCAGGAGATAGAGTCCCTCTGCACTGTGTGGACAGACATCCGAATCAACAGCACATTGTGGCCACAGGAGGGCAGGACGGCATGCTCTGTGTCTGGGATGTGAGACAAGGCAGCACACCCTTCTCACTCATGGAGGCGCACTCTGCTGAAAGTAAGGCTTTACTGTGGGCAGAGCATTTTACTTTACCAGAGTTAACTCTACAAGTACATTTTGAAGAGGTCATATATGGGAAAATGTATATTTCTCCTTTTGCAATTGCTTTTGCTTTGTTTATTATAAGTTCCTCTTTGTTTTGTTTTCTGTACAGTGTGGGAAGTCCACTTCCACCCAACCAACCCAGATCATCTGTTCACATGCTCGGAGGATGGCTCGCTGCTGCACTGGGAGACCTCCTCACAGTCAGACATACCCTCCTTCTTACAAGGCAAGTCAAATTATTCTGTTTGCTATTCAGTTTAGCCAGCAGTTAAAGCCATTTGTGCCATAATCCAGATGATATAAGGACAGGTTTTAACAGAGTTCACCAGCTTTGTCATGTAAGCAGGGCTGCACCATATGCTAAAGAAAATCATATTACCTTTTAGATATGATTCACGATTAGGGGGAATGATTAAAGACAAATACAATACAAATATTTTGAGTGTTTTTGAGATAAAAAAGGATTTTGTTTTAATTCTTGGTGGAATGTAACTAAGTACATTTACTGAAGTACTCAGTACAATTTCATGTCAACAGTGACCTCTGGCCTCCTAAAACCTAAACCTGTCCCCAGATATTATCAGTAAATATCCACAAGTTGACAATTACCAACAGCACAATCATATGATATAAACTGCAGCTTCTATATTAATCATAGGATATGATTAATAGAATAATAATTCATTTATTAGTCATACAACCTGTGCCTTCTATCTTTTGGTTGTCATAGTGACCACAGCACTGAGTCAGCTAGCGTGATGCACATTACCAAAAGCTACAAAGCCGGCTTAGCAACATGCTAAGAAAACTACTACCCCAACATAATAATAGTCTAGGAACCATAATAGTCTTGTAAAATATTAATAGATGTTTTATTGTTGTTTTCCAGGTGGCAGGAACAGCAGCATGACATCTCGCAGTGCAATGGCCCCGGCTGGAGGGAACCAGTCCCTCATCAACGCGTGGCTCAGTGGAGACTCTAGTAAAGGCCGTCTGGAGACGACTCACATGCTTCCTAGCCAGACGCTGTCCGTCAACAGTTTGGATGTACTCGGACAATGTCTTGTCTGTGGGACTGACGGAGAGGCTATTTTTGTCAACAGACAGGTCCCAGTTTAAGAGAGTTGTCAGTGTACAGGACAAGGTGTGGATGGAGATCTGTTTATTTGCTGTCTATTTCAGTCACAACACAGGTTTTATTGTCTCCTTTGACCACACAGGGTGCCATAAATACTTTATGTTCAAATGTATGTTTGTGAGATTTTGGCTTTACTTGTGTATTTCTCTGTCATATAATGTTGCATACACACTATATTTGTGCATTTCTATTGCAGTTGTGATGGATCATGATGGATTAAGGGTTTGTTTGTTTTTTAGATCATTCCAAGCAGAGTGTTTCAACTAAACAGTACTTTTGTATGGATGTAATTTAAAACAGTTTTTGAAATAAAATAGAAATAAAAAGCCTTGACACAAATGTTTTATTTAAAAAAAGAAATCCAAAGTCGATCGTGAATATCATAGCTGCAGTCACTGTATATCTTTCCCCCACTAACCTGTCAAATACTGTGTACTCACATATAGTAAAACTAACCACTAACTTAATTAAAATTTTATTTTTACCAGTTGAGACCAGGGGTGTTTAGGAACAACAGGTGATTACATGTTTCAGAGGTGAAGTGAATAATTATAGACAAAGGTACAATTAAAAAAAAAAGCGTCATCCGGGTAATTTAAGTAAAGTTTACAAACTTCAATTAATAGTTTCCCCAGTAGTACTTCCGGTATTTCTTTTCAAATGAAATTCACTGGATAAAAAAATAATACACCATATCTCATAATTACGAGGTCAGATAAAGAAAAAGGAAACGTCTGTAAATCCTCTCTCATCCTCCTAACGACTTGAGATGTCTGCACAGTGTTGACATACTAATATTAATACCTTCCTCATTTTTAAAAAAACATCAGTGTTTCCTAGTGTCTCAAACCGAGAAAGGTAGTAATAGCAGATTAACTGCGATAGCGCCATCACTGCCACTGAGAGGATTTACAGACGTTTCCTTTTTCTTTATCTGATCTCGTAATATGGTGTCAATTGTTTTTTTATTCCAGTGAATGCAATGCACTTCCGTAATTCCGGATTTGTTTGGTTTTAATTTAACTGATTTCTCATAGTTGCATGTGTTTGGTATGGCGGCTGATTACCGTGTTTTATAATATGACCTGTCGTTTCATTCTAACAAATAATCCGCTTTATCCGCTGTCTCATTCATTTCTTAGTTGATCAATGACCATTTCCCCTGGCAAATAAAGTAATTCAATAAAATAAAAAAGAGTATGCAGTTGTAAAACTAGTATTAGCCGTTTTATTAATATAATTTAAATTGTTATAACTGGTGAAAATGTTCAAATTTGAGAAAACTTGGATTAAATTGTTTCTCCCATGGAGTTACTTTCCTCCTCTTATTGTGAAATCGACAAGAACCGGAAGTGTGGTGCGTTAGTTGCGTGTGTAGCTTGTTGCTGTTGTACTTGTCATTCAGACATCCCAGGAATTCAACACGACTAGGAACAAGCCAGCTCGGCACAGCAAGGACATTTTTACGTTAAAACCACGTCCCTGTCGCCGAGAACGGTAAAAGGAAATATCGTCTGTTTTCAAAATAAGAAAAGTGTCGAGGAAAGCGGCAGCAACAGACGCTGGTAAGTTGTCAGACGCGGCTAACGGCTGGCTAACGGCTGGCTAACGGCTGGCTAACGGCTGGCTAACTGTCGAGCTAACGGCTAATTCGCAACCTGTTGTTGAATTAGCTGCTAGCAGCAAATGGACGCCTTTAGCTCGCAGGCCGCGGAGGAGCTGCTGCGCCGTTTGATTGTATGCAAAGTGAGAGTCCGATAACTGCGGGTTGCAGCTCACGGGTCGCTGCGTGTTGGAGACATATTAGGCGAATAAGTTTAGCTTTTAATTTTACAACACTTAACGCAAGAGAAGTCGCGTTAAAGTAGCGATCTATTAGCCCGAGGTGCTAACGACGCTAGTAAGTGGACTGCTTTTTGTTTTATGAAGGAATAGTTCTTAATCTCCACCTTAAAGCTTTGAACAACCAGTTTAAATGACGGTGAAATCGTAAAGCACTGAATAAAACCTTTTTTCAGCTATAGGGAATATTAATTTACTTATAATAATCTTCATATTGCTGATGTTTATCTGTCAGCATCTGCTAATTAGAGCTTTCTTCATCTCATTTGCCCAACCTGTTAGGTAACATGACATATCCTCTGCCTGCTTATCTCACACAGGTTTTGTACATTTCTGTCAGCAGCATGCAGATGTGAGGGCAGACACCAGAGACCCCTGCGACCCTTTACTGCAACCCTGGACTGAGTGACATCCTCTTCATTCCCCTTTGTCATCATACATGCTCTTACATGAAGAGAGGGGAGAAACCCGAAGGATACAGACAGATGAGACCCAAAACTTTCCCCACCAGTAACTACAGTGGCAACAGCCAACAAATGCTGCAGGAAATACGGAATAGCCTGCGCAACCTGTCCAAACCCTCTGACCCGCCTAAAGTGGACATTGGTGGAGCAGGAAAAATGCTTTTAGAGGACCCAAGGCAACAGGGTCGCTGCAGCAACCCCAAAAACCCCCACCATAAGGCCTTACAGGAGATCCGTAAATCCCTGATGCCTTTTGCCAATGGGCCCAGCACTTCAGGCCCCGAGGTGAACAAGCACATGTCTGTGGAAGTCCCGTTTGCTGGGTTTGAGGAGGTGAGATGATTGTTTTTGTCACCAAGACAGGTTGTTGTGGAGGAATTTCATCTGAAACATAACTCTGTAAGAGAGAATAATCACTTGGTGCGCTTTGTTTACGAGAGAATTATTCCGAAAATGAAAAGTATGAAAAGTGGAATGACGTGTTTGTACAGGTGACAATGCAAAAGCAGTTTCTTTGTTGGAAGTTGCCACTTGTTTTGAGCCAGTGACTGCAATCCAGGTATGAAGTGGCAAAGTATGCAGTGTAGTAATTTTAAATTGCAACCCGTAACTAACATTTAAACTGTTGGGGAAAGAAATTTAACCATCAATCGATTAGCTGGATGACAGAAAATGAACTGTGTATTATAAGATATTGTAATAATTGGATAACCATTTTAAGCAAAATCTCCAAACATTTTCCGGCTCCACCATCTCCAGGATTTACTGCCTTTCTCTGTTTTACATAATTATAAACAGAATACCTTTTGGGTTTTGGACTTTTCAACAAAATAAGACATTCAAACATGTCACTTTGGGATCTGGGAAATTGTCATGGACATTTTTAACTGTGTTCTGACATTTTATAGACTAAACAATTAATTGAGTAATCAAGAAAATTATCTACAGATGAATTAATAATAAAGAATTGTTTGTTGCACCCTTTTGCCCATTCAGATGACTTTTGAAGACTGTGAGAAACCTAAATTAAATAACTTTGTTTTGTTTTTTGCATTTAAAGCAGAGCAACAGTCGCAGTATGGGGGCAGTTATAGACTACATGGGTAAGGTGAGCTACCAGGAGTTGATGAGGGAACAGATGGCTGTTGCCAACCCCAACACTACAGGTCTGAAAGCCCCAGGTACGTAACTGTCCACTGGGACTAAATGCTGGGTTTCCTCTTTTATTTTTCATCCAGGCGTGTTCATTCAATCTTGATATTGTTTGCAGGATTTGGGACATTTGCTTAAAGAAACGACAATACATGCTAACAAAAAGAGAATGAGTCATTGCATCACGTAATGGAACAAGTTGTCTGGATATTTTAGTTTTTCATTCATTCTGAGTAATAGTACATTGAATTGTATTACAGTTTGTTGACCACCATTGTTAGTATTAACAACTGTTCTGCACCTTTTTGTTAATAAAATACAAAAGACAAAATATAATATAAAGAAGTCGGGTGTATCATACAATAAGACATGTTATACAGCTTTGGTTTTTATAGTTTTATCTATCATTCCTATTGGATTTAATCATATTGAACATACAGAGTTAGAGAGCGCACTGTTCCTATGTGAACATGCACACGTGTAGAGTTTACACAGTGTAATAACTGTTCGGATGTGAAAAAAACTAATTTACACCTGTTTATTTTCATTTCATTGTATTGTTTATTTTTATCTTTGTTTGTATTTTGTGTATCTATAGGAGCTCCTCATATCCCGCAGGCTGTGCTGAGGAGGCCAAGCTGGAAAGGTTCTAAGGAATCTTTAGCTCCTCGACACGGTCCTCTGATGGTGGATGGAATGATGTACCGCTCAGACAGCCCCGGACCACCTCCTGCCTTCCCACAGGGTCACCCTGCTAACAGCCAGAGAGTCAACCCTCCACTGCCGCCACAGGTGCGCAGTGTCACACCTCCACCAAACCGCGGTGCCATGCCTCCTGCACCGTCCTGGGACAGCAACCCATCAACCAAGCGTTACTCTGGCAACATGGATTACCTTGTGCCTCGCATCTCTCCAGTACCCCAGGGGCCCTGGCCTGATGGGTACCAAGCTGCACCACCCCAGAATCAGCGTGGGATCAGCCCAGTGCCTATGGGCCACCAACCCATCATAATGCAAAACTCTGGGGGGAATAAGTTCACCTTCCCCTCCATCTGGTCTCAGAGTGGCTCCCCTCAGTCAGACTACATGGCGGGGGGCAGTAGACAGCCTCCTCCCCCATACCCGGTCAACCAGAGCAGCCGGCACAGTCCCACTGACCAGCAGATGCAGACAGGAGGACCTGCGTCATCTCCTTCTTACGTCAACGGAGGAAACATCCCTCAGTCCATGATGGTTCCCAACCGGAATAGTCACAACCTTGACATGTACAACATAGGTCCTCCTCAGTCCTGGTCCCAGGCTCCTCTGGCCTCCAACCAGCCCCAGTCTTCCTCTGGAAACAGCAGCAATCAGGACCTGTCCCCGTCATGGCAGCACAACATTCCAGTTCGCTCTAATTCCTTCAACAACCACCAGCTGAACGGCAGACCGGCCCACCCAGCCAGCTCCCAGCCCTCTGCCACCACAGTCACTGCCATTACCCAGGCTCCCGTCCTGCAGCCAGTCAACAGCATGCGTGTCCAGAAACCTGAGTTACACACCGCTGTCGCTCCCACACACCCTCCATGGATGCAGCAGGCTCCACCACCTCCAGCTGCACCTGCTTATCAAGAACCCTCAGCCCCTGTACCTCAGATCCCTGTCATAGCAGAAGTTCCCAGCTACCAGGGCCCCCCTCCGCCTTATCCTAAGCATCTCCTCCAGCAGCAGGCCGCACCCTGCCCTCCTGCCTACGATCCAGGGGCCAATAAGCTCGGCACGGGCAGAGAGGAGCCTGCTGAAGAGGAGAGCAGTGGCGGTGACAGTTCCCGAGACAAGACGACAGAAACACCCGAAAGCACCGCGGCGACAGAGAAAGAGAAGAAGCAAATCACAACATCGCCTGTTCCTGTCCGCCGGAACAAGAGAGACGAAGAGCGGCGAGGGGAGTCAGGAAGAGTCGCTCTGTACTCCCCCCAGGCCTTCAAGTTCTTCATGGAGCAACACGTGGAGAACATTCTAAAGAACCATCAGATGAGGATTCGGAGGAGGAAGCAGCTGGAAAGTGAGATGCAAAGGGTGAGAACAACATTCACACAAGTTATAGACAAACCTATTTCACTTTTTAAAGAAATTCCTGTCACTCTCTAAACTTTTCTCTCTACTATCTATCATCGCTGTATTATCTGCCTCTGAGATTATGTCTTTTTCATGCTATTTCATTTTTTTTTCTTAGCTGTTCTTTCTCTTCCTTTCTCTCCTTGCTGTCACTAACAGCTGATCTAAAAAGGTAAAGGTATCTCTGCTGTCATGATACACAAAATAGTCCACACACATCAGTTGTTTAAGTAAGCTTGTGTTGAATCTGTAGTATTTTAAATGTACTTCATGCAGCATGTTGTGGCTGAAGGGAATGCATGTCACTCCAGGACCACCTCACTGATTACGTCACTGCTCGAGCATTTGTGTTTTGGACTAAAGTGATGATAACACAATAAAGTCTGTTTGTAGATTTGTTTATAGATCATTTTAAATTCATTTTGCACTGGTTTCCTTCAGTGTCTTCAGTTGATTCCCTTGAATGCCAGTTTATATTTAACCAGGACTACATGTGTGGTTTTTTGGAGCCATTTTAAAATTATGTGGGGCCATTAAATCACTTTTGACTCTGTTCTGTGCTTAGGTGGGTTTGTCTTCAGAAGCTCAGGAGCAGATGCGTATGATGCTCTGCCAGAAAGAGTCCAACTACATCCGCCTGAAGCGGGCCAAGATGGATAAATCCATGTTCAAACGCATCAAGACCCTCGGCATCGGAGCCTTCGGTGAGGTGTGCTTGGCCAGAAAGGAAGACACAGGAGCGCTGTACGCCATGAAAACGCTCCGTAAGAAGGACGTGCTGCTAAGAAACCAAGTGGCCCACGTCAAGGCTGAGAGGGACATCCTGGCTGAGGCCGACAATGAGTGGGTGGTGCGTCTCTACTACTCTTTCCAAGACAAGGACAACCTGTACTTTGTCATGGAGTACATCCCTGGAGGGGACATGATGAGCCTTCTCATCCGGCTCGGCATCTTCAAAGAAGAGCTGGCCCAGTTCTACATTGCGGAGCTCACCTGTGCTGTGGAGAGCGTCCACAAGATGGGTTTCATCCACCGAGACATCAAGCCTGATAACATCCTGATAGACCGAGACGGACACATAAAGCTGACCGACTTCGGCCTTTGCACCGGCTTCCGCTGGACACATGACTCCAAGTATTACCAGAGTGGTGGGTCTAATTTTTTTTAATAACAAACAGTCAAACTCGCTCCCTAATCTACAATACATATTCAAATAAAGCCTGTATTAAATAGCTTTCAACATTCATTATTTCCATTAGGTCAAACAAATGGCTGCTATTAACGACCATTTCCATTATTAATTAATTTAGTTATTTTCCTTATTAATGGTTAGGTGTATTAATTGTCAATGGTAAAAAAAAACGAAAAACCGCCCATTTCCCAGAGTGACGTCTTCAAATTACTAAATTTGACAGTTGAATTTGGGTGAATTTGCTTTAAAAAATCCAATTACATTGAGCTAATCGACTATCAGATTAACTAATGTTTTCAGCACTAACAGTATAATAGTCTTAACAGTGTTTAACACAATATCAAGAATGTTTTAAGTTTTAAGGTTTGTACTAAATTGATGAGGCCACCTTCAAAAAGATTGATCAGGTAGTTTACAAGTAATTTAATGTAGTCAACTTTGTTGCTGTTATAAAGTTGATAGCAGAACACAAACAGAATATATTTCTCTGCCACTGAATTTTCTGTATGTAAATAATAAGTATTTGACTGTTATTGTTCAGTCAAATACCTGGCTTTGACCAGACAGTAAGTCATATATGCTGCGGATGTTTTTTATATACATTTTAAATGTACCTGCACCTGCTATTTTCATTCATAAAACCACAGCTGATCAGAACAAAGTAATGAGCTTTACTGTGCGGTCTCTTTCCAGGTGACCATGTGAGGCAGGACAGCATGGACTTTAGTAAGGAATGGGAAGACCCAGCCAACTGCCGCTGTACGGACCGTCTGAAGCCTCTGGAGAGGAGGAAGGCCCGGCAGCACCAGCGCTGTTTGGCACATTCACTGGTGGGGACGCCCAACTACATAGCCCCAGAAGTACTGCTCCGAACAGGTACAGTGGACCACAACTAGAGTATATATTTCACTAAAATGTGCTTTTTTAATCAGTAGCATTGATAGTAAAAGTCTACAGAAGAGCAGTCTTAGTATTATTTACATTATCAGTTAATGAATGTTGAGTCAGAAAGTTGTGAAAACATTTACTGATCCAACTCTTCTCTCCTGATACCAAACGTCAACTAAAGGTATCTTCCGATCTTGTGTACCAATCCGATCCCATTTCACTCTATTTCCAAATGTGGAATTACACTGGAAACCTTTTTATGTATAATAATGTAAGGCCATGGATTTCTGTATTCAAATAAACTGTATTTAATGTGGAGGCTGCTACCAGGGGTCTGTAATTGCATTTTGAACTGAAACCTGAACAAGAAACCGAGCACTAAAAGCTAACACACTTCTTGAATATACAAAAACTGACTGTAAACTTTCCAGAGTTGTTGTTGCAGTGTTATTGATGTCTCTAATCTTCTCCAGGTTACACCCAGCTCTGTGATTGGTGGAGCGTTGGTGTGATCTTGTATGAAATGGTTGTTGGGCAGCCTCCTTTCTTAGCGACCACACCCCTGGAGACACAGCTGAAGGTATGTGAAGCACCTGCAGTGAAATGTTTTGCCTCTGCAGAGCTCATTGTTTGTTAATGTTTTCTCTTCTGTTGAAACCAGGTGATAAACTGGAAGAGCATGCTGCACATTCCCCCGCAAGCCAAGCTCAGCCCCGAGGCGTCAGATCTCATAGTGAAATTGTGCCGCGGCCCTGAAGACCGCCTCGGCAAGAACGGAGCGGACGAAATAAAAGCTCATCCTTTCTTCAAGACCATCGACTTCTCGAGCGACCAGCGGCAGCAGGTGGCGCCCTACATCCCCACCATCGCCCACTCCACGGACACCTCCAACTTCGACCCCGTGGACCCAGATAAACTGTGGAGCAGCGACAGCGACGGCAAGGACAACCTCAACGACACACTCAACTGCTGGTTCCGCAACGGCAAACACCCCGAGCACGCCTTTTACGAGTTCACCTTCCGCCGCTTCTTCGACGACAACGGCCACCCGTACAGCTGCCCCAAACCCATCGAGTACGAGAGTTATAACGGGGACGAGGCGGACTCAGAGAACCCGACGCAGGAGGCGGCCAGTAGCTCAGCGAGTCAGGGCCGAGACCTGGTCTACGTGTAGCGTGAGGCCAGTTGAGCCGCTTGTACATAACGTGTGTGTGTGTGTGTGTGTGTGTGTGTGTGTGTGTGTGTGTGTGTGTGTGTGTGTGTGTGTGTGTGTGAAGGGGATTGCGACGGTACAGCATTTAAATCCTCGAACATAGGAACGTGTGTTTGTAGGAGCAGTCAGAACACTGCAGCACACAGTCACACTAACAGACTTTGATTTATGAACCAGATGTTCACACTACAAGTTACAGATGTTTTTTGGCATTCTGGGGAGAAAACACACTTATTCGCTTTCTTGACAGGAAGGTTGATGTGACTCTGGTTAGCTACAGCTAGCTCATCCATGTCCAAAGGTAACAACCTGCCTATTAGTACCTTTAATGCTCAGTAATTAACAAGTAATTGCTGGCTGCCTGGCAACCTCACGCTGATGATGACACACCTCAATCAAGAAATAGTCGAGATCATAGCGCCTCATTAATTATTGTACGGATACAACATGTTAATCAGTGAGCTTTAGAGGTGCTGGCAGCTGGATTTTGTTACCTACAGACCTGAGAGAGCAGTATCCTCGAACTCTCTGCAAGAAAGCAAATGAGATGTTAGTTTTTTTTTCTCAATGTGGAACTATTCCTTTAACGTTTGCTGCCTGAAAGAACAGAAAGCAGAAAACAAAATCAGGGTGCTCTCTTTGACGACTTATCGCAAACCCCCTTAAAGCCTTAACTTATTTAAGAAAATTGTAACTGGTGATGATAGTGTAGATGCTGTTTGAGTGTGGGAATTTTGTTGGAATTACATTTATTGGTAAAAAAAAAAAAAAATCCTCTTAATTTATATTTTAATGTCTGTTGCAATGGGGATTTAGTGACTCATAGAAATTTGCAGGGATAAATTGCTCTAATTATTCATTGCTGTGCCTTTTTTGTTTTCTTTCACCAAATATAAAGAGGGTTAATAATCAGACTGGCATTTTAAAATGAGAGTAGCAGTAGCTGATTGAACTACAGTAGGTTGTTTTATTTTTCTAATTTATATCTAAAATGTATTTATAAATTAAGTTGTATACAGTTGATGTAAATATTTTTCTCTTCCCTGTCAGCTGATTTATTTTTTTTCCTTTAGGGCAGGCCCTCGTCAGTGTCCCCTGCTGCCTTCTGTCAATATGTTGTGTGCTTTTCTGTCTCTCATACACCCAAAACACCTACGACACTAATCCACAGGACTCTGAATACAGTTCATTTTTTTTGTATAGCGTAAGACTTCATGCTCGTCTCTCAACCAAAGCACTAAATAGTTGGATTACCCAAGTTAATGATCACATGACCATGACATTTTGTGCCGTTCTCACACTATGAACCAGAAATGCCTCTGCTTTTAGGTACCTAACCACTTCATCCTATAGTACACTACATTGTGTCTAAGGATCTGGGAGAGGCTTGAAAGCTTAACACCCCAGTTCCTTAAGTGATTTTTCTTTCGTCTTTGAGAAACACTACAGCTGACTGTCATTTGTTGAGTGTTTCGTGCCTCTGTGCTGATTTTGAAGAACAACTATTGATGAACTCACGGTGGAGAGAACAGTTCTCCGTCACAGATCTTGCTGATTTTGTAACCCGCTGTACTTTCCTTTGTGTTTAGGAAAATATCTCTGAATGTAGTTATGGACTTAATGGTGACCACTGGCATCCTGCCTGGTTTTGTGTTTTCATTGTAAGTGAGAGAATTTTATTTTTGTGTACATTGTTGCTCTGGGAGGTTGGGTACAGGGAAGAGGGTGATAAATAAAGAATGTAAAGAACAAAATGTTTCACATGCACACCAACTGTGCTCCTTTTTATATCATCATCAGATAGAAAACTACTGGACTGGTGATTTAGATTAGAGCTGCAGCTAACAGTTATTTTCAGTATCAATTAATCGGCCGAAAAATGCCCACCGCAGTTCACTGAAGCCCAAGATGATCTTTAAATGTCTTTTTTTTGTTTGATCAAAATACAAATATATTCAGTTTAAGAGCAGAAAAGCAGAAAAAACTCAATTTAAATTTTTTTTAATAATACCTGTTTTCTGTAAAACTGTTTTGATTAATTGACAAGCTATTTAAGCCCTCAATTAGGCTTTTGTCAGGTAAAAGGTGAAGTAACATTAAATATCTATAATGCAGTGTTTCCATATTTTGGAGCTGAAACCTAAAAGTAGAACAAAACAAAGATAATTTAGAACATACCAGACTGTCCTGTCTCTGAATCATTAACATACCACTTATATAATAGAACATTTACAATAGTTAATAAAAGGCAGCATTACATTTCCTTAGTGTGTTTACTTGTACAGTTGAATTTAATCTGGTGGGTTTAATCATTGCAGTGAATATAAAGATTATTGGCAAAAATCTAAAATCATCTGTAATTGGTCCAGAAATGTTGATCAGTATGTTTAGAAGCTCTGGTATTAAATAAACTCGGATGCAGAGAGCCTTAGTTAACCTTTAAATATGTCCCATTTCCACTAGATATTTACAATATAGTATTTACACTTGTTCCATGTAAAAAGGCTGTTTAATAAAGGACTCTCTCTCTTGTACTGTAATTAGCTACTTAATTATATAATTCAAACATCTGCAGTAATAAAGTCTCCATACAGATAAAAGCTATTATAGAAATGAAATAAGTGGCCTATTGCATGTAGCTTTGACAGCACAGTTTAATCTTGTCAGTCAGATATAAATGAGTCTGGTGTGATGAGTTTAAAGTTGTCGCCACCAGAGGGCGCCAGACAACTGAGACCTATAATGGACACCTCCACACACTCTGGTGTCCCAGTGCCAAAGACCCTTTTAACAAATAATAAACAGACATTTTCCATTATTATCCCATTATCCACATATTTGTTTTTTCTTCTTCTCCAGCCTGAAGTAGATCCTTTATTTCAGTTGTGAAATGCAACAGCAGAACTTAAGCATCCAATACCACAATCAGACATGAAGGGATTTTAGTCTGCACGCACTTCTGGAGGAAAAAATTGGACTTTTTTTCAATTGTATAAGTACAGAAAAGTCTAGGTTTTATTTCCTGAGGCAGAATTTGTTGGACATGCAGCTGATTTTTACCTAAACAGCACAGCACAGTCCCTTTCTTGGGACTTTATTCTTAATAGTTTACCTTAAACCAGCTGTTAATCTTACCCTAAACCCCTAAAACAAAGACAAACATTTTATCTAAAAACATTGTTTATAGTTTATGTCAGTGGCTGTCCACACTGCTATCTACTATATACCATCAATAACTAATATTCCACTGTATCACTGACAATAGACTCATACTTAATGTTGAAGCCGTAGCCAAATGAAGTTTAGTGAGGAGAACTTCACTCACATGGTGTGGCACAAATCAGGGAAATAATGCTGCCAGTGATGAAAGCACGAGCTGCGGGGACTAACTCGGCCTGTGTAGTAACGGCCAGCGTCGCAGCACGCTTTACATAACTAAACAAAAAGCATTTCAGTCCAATTAGCACAGTTGTAATTAATGACATTAACACAGGCTGCATTCTACACTACTATGAGCTATGGCTCACTCAGACACTTAATCATTAAGGTTATTAATGCTGCTTCTCCACCTATGACGAGTCAAAATGTCTGCTGGGAGAAATACTTTATCGCTGGACATGAGTGAGTCTACGCTGCAGGTCAAACCTGTCAACAAATGTGAACTTTGAGCTGAATATCGGCAGGAGTACGCCTTACATCACACCACAAATCTGACACACATTCTTTCATTTGTAAGTCAAATGAGAGACTGAGCGAATATTTGTGAGTGTGACCGAACTCTCACCAAGATTCCTCGCACTGACTCACAAGAGGAGGACTAAGGCTGAAATAAAGAGGCTCCACCAGCTTCCAACGTGCTCTGAAATAGAGTCAAGTAGAGGAAAGGCATTAATTAAACTAACTGAGCACTGAAGTCAAGAGTTGGTGTTCATACAAGGTACGAAGGGTCTAAAACTGAGCCCAGGATCAGTTTTTAGCTTTTCTTGGTCTCCTCTTCAGGTCTTTCCATATCAGAAATCTAGTCGATGTGAAGCTGATGGAAACATGGGACAGTTTATAAGATCTAACATGAAAGGAGACATGAAACTACAACAGAGCACATCATTGAGGACAAACAAGTTAACTTAAACAAGCTTATTTTTAATGGATCTGCAAAACTGTTTGAATTTCCAAAGAGAACTTCTGTACCTCCCGCCCACAGTTACCCAGTGGCAAACGTTACACAACGTTACAGAAACGCTTCCAACCCAAAGAAATCTGCATGCAGGAACAAAAAAAAAAAAAAAAAAATCAACCCAAATAGGGAAAAAGAAATAAAACAAAAGTAAAATAAATCATACAGATAAAAACAAAACATCAATAAACAGGACATACTGTATAATGCCGTTCTCTTGGCTGGAGGAGAAATTCAAACGTGTCTGCTTCAAGTTCGGCTTCCTCGTGAAGACAGCCTGAACCAACAGAATATTAAACTGTAATTTCATTGGGTGGATGTGGCTCCGCCCACCACACAGCCCCGCCCCTGTCTTCCATATAAGGCACAGGACAAAATAAACCCCACATACAAAAGGAGCTAGCCACGCCTCTGTCACTTGGTAACAAATTGTAAATGACCAAATACGGTTAGACAACAGAAACCCCACTAAGTGTACAAAATGTTAATCCTACATTTGTCATTTTTTGTTTGATTTTCTCTTTTATTTTGATTTCCTCTGACTGAAGGTGAGTGCTGTGGGTGAGTGGGGAAAGGGGGGAAAGGGGGAAGTTAAGGGTAGGTGAGGGTGTCCAACCAGGTGAGCTCAGGCAAAGGAAATATTAAAAATATGAGCTTGTCTTTTCACATTTTTTTTAATCTTTTTTACAACTTTTAAAACAAATGACAAGAAACGTGACTGGATTTCTCTTTTTATCAGAAATAAAAATGATCATCAGATGGAGAGTGGAAGAATATGGTGGGGTGGGGTGGGGGGTAGGAGGAGGGGATTAGACACGTGAAGTGGTTTATTGTTTTACTCTGATAAAGAGACAGACAGAGAGTGTCAGTGTGCAAGAAAACTCATGAGACAGGTTAGAGAGCGAGAGAGTTAGAGTTAGCATTTAGAGAGAGAGAGAATATGTGTGTGTGTGTGTGTGTGTCTGTGTGTGTGTGTCTGTGTGTGTGTGTGTGTGTCTGTGTCTGTGTGTGTCTGTGTGCGTTAGTGTGAGTGAAACAAGAGGAGTTGTTCAACTGCAGCACTTGCTCTTCCAGCCTGTGACTCCACTTCCACTGCTGATGTCGACGTTTTCACTGTTGGGCTCTTTTACAGGCGTCTGTCGCAGAAAACACAAACCCAGACGGAAAAAAAGAGACAAAAAACATCTTATTAAACACAAGAGAATTCAGCTCAGGTGTAATAAGACTGTCTTCCACTTTAATCGACTGTCTGAGTGTCACATTTAAGCAGTGCAGGGCCGTCAAAGATGCCACAGTGGGATGGAAAACAATTGGATGTGTGCAGAAGCTTTAACCTTTTTAAATCAACTATATTTCATTGATTTTAGAAAAAAAGCTTTGCTAACTGTGTTGTAAGAGGACACCGTCTACTCTATCTTCAAAGGAAACTTTACTTTTAAACATTTAAAAAGGCTACAATGTTGAACCAGTAAAAGGACGTTTTTCCTTGCCACTGACACCGAGTGCTTGCTCATGGCGTATACAAATAAAATGTATTTAAAAAATAGTAATAGTTGTAGATTATTTAAGGTTAATAAAAGCAGTGGCTACACCACCTCAGCAACTTGTTTATCCATTTAAAGTGGGAAGAATGTCATTAAATATATTATAAATAATATATTATTCTTATATGATAAATACAAATAAACTATAATAATAATAATAACAATAACAATAATACCACCTGTAATTCAGCAATTCCATCAAATATCAACCGGTCAAATAATGGTAGTGGTACAAATACTTTAATAAGTACTGAACACACACTATATCACACAGATGGTGAAAGCCACACACACACACACATACCTTTCTCAGGATGTCTTCTGCTAACGTGAGGAAAGCCTTCTCGATGTTGATGTTGGCTTTAGCACTCGTCTCAAAAAACCTAATGCCGTGCTCCCTCGCAATCTGTGGAGAAGAAAACAGGGCGAGTTAGAACGATGAAAGAAGGTCTAGTCCAAAAATAAAGTGGCTGATCCTCTGTGCAGAACAGAGATCAGGTATCACTGGTGTTACCAACTCAAGCACACACACACACACATACATACATACATACACAGACACACACACTTCCATTCAGGTCAGGTAGGTGTGTGTATGAGTAAGCAGATCTGTATCTGATGTTGCTAAATCTGCAGACAGACTAGTCGCTGCTAGTTTCCACTGGTACAATGAGCAGGAGCTCTTAAAAGGCTCTGCAGACCCAAAACAGATGTTTTCACTGGATTCATTCGATCTCTGCTCGGGCTGAAATATATCCTGGAGATTTCATCAAGTGACCAAACTCGATATACTAACAGAGGACGTGTAGAGTGAGCGGCGTCACCAGATGCTGAAGCCGCCCGGTCCCTCCCGTCAAACAAACGGTGCAATCACATGAGGGTAAAAGAAGGAAATCCTGCTAATACACTTCAGAGATTTGGCACATTTGACATTGAATTCAGACAGACTGTCTCAAACAGCAGGGATCACATGCTTCTCTTTAGTCTTTGGAAATTTGAATCCTGGTGCTGAAACCTGGATCTGTAGACCCCTTTTTGTGTCAGACATGTTGCATGTTTGTGTAAATTCACACCATAGACATTGTGCTGGTATGTGACGCCATCTTGGATTGTCATAGGACTATATTTGGTATGAGTGAGGACTTGTATGATTTACATTTTAATGAGAAATCCTGCTTTTTAAAATGGCACAACCGCACTAGTTTCTTGCACACCTTCAGGCTTTGTTTAGCGTACTTCACAAGAATAATGAGAAGGTATAAACGTGTGTCTAGAAACTCAATGTGTCTGGTACATACTGTGAAATGACCATTGGTGTGTAGCCCGAACTCAGCATCACAAGTAGTGGTCTTATATTTCTAGTAGCGTAGATGTCGGTCTTTACTCAGACGCAGTTTGAAGTGAGCACTGCCGGTAAGATTGTTTATAAAAAAGGAAACCACAACTCCTCGGTGATATGGACATGTTGTGGTTTTTATGAACTCTCAGATCAAGCAGCCACTGTGCTGTGTAAGCAGCGCTGCAGGAGGTGCAGTTGTTTTATTGTTCTCCTGCAACTGTTACTGCAGACCCATTCACCACAAATTACACTGCTTTTTACTGCCTATATACAGTTTGAATTATGGTCTGTAAAGATTATGTCCTGACAATAAAGCCATCCCTTTTATTTCAGGTATAAACACCCAGCACAAGCTGCAACAATATCTCCACCAATTTATCAATTTTTTTTTGTTTGAGCGTGAATGCAGCAAGTTTTAAACCCCCAAAAGAACATGTGAGAATTTCTGAGGCAAGTTGACCCACAATATTTTGCTCTTCAGCAAATCAGAAATAACCACACAGTTGAGCAGCGAGTTCAATACACAGGAACTTAAATGTGGCCAGTGATATCCCCAAAGTAGGTCTGGAATTTGTCTGGAGACCCATATTCATTAAGTAAACAAACATTTACAGAAAGATAGCAAATTCTGAAATGTTGCTATTCAAACATTTATAGTTTTAAAACAAAATATTCCTGCAGATGAATTGATTTGATCCTGATGCTCTGAGCTTCTTTACAAAGTTCAGTTATTCTCTGATCTTTCACACTGCAGCAGCTACGTTTTAGAGAGAAACCTTTCATATTCAATGTATAAAATGGAGTTCAAAATATAGAATATAAAAGCTTTCTTTGTTATTTTTGAGATTGTTTATGTCCCAATAAACGGTTGTTTGAGTAGTCACTGAGTTGTTATAGTAAAAGTAAGCCTTTATGGCATGCAAAGACAAACAGCAGCTTACTGCACGTTGTATGAGGAGGCACTGTTTTAGTTTATAGTTTAAGTAAATTCAAGAAGCTTCCAGACAAATATTCACCAGTTCTAATACATTGTTTTTACTCCTATCTCTATAGAATTATGTGTTTGAAAGTCATTGTGAGATTCTCTGCTGTTTTTTTCTGCTACCTCCAGTGTAGAATGAGTCCATGGCAAACAGTCCAAGTGAAGATGGGACTGAAATGTGATCAATATCAGGGGACTAAATGAACAGAAGTGTTTCTAGATTCAGGATTATGAACTGATTGCGTAGCTGCAAAGTGGCAGTAACAAATCAGCCAATCAACACACAGGACCTTGATGACGGACGGTTGCTAATCGCTGCAGTGGACTGCACCATCTCACCTGCTCCCCCTTGGCTTTTGGTACGACCCTCTTGTCCTCCATGTCACACTTGTTGCCTAGCAGCATCCTTTCGACGTCCTCATTTGCATGCTGAAAAAGATAAAGAAGTGTTTGATTATTAGATTACTTTTTCATATGAGCGACATTAAACGCAGCTTCATCTTGGATTTCAACATCACAGTTGCAACGTGGACAAGATACCACGAGCCAACTAATAGATCTGTCCCACAAGACCCTCAGTCTCAATAAAGCATATTTATATTACAAATATAATGTTTTAGACATTAATATTTAACATTATTTATTATTATTATCTGCTGGATAGTTTTTTGTTTTGTTATCAATGTATTTAACAACTTCTATCATGATGAATCTATAAAATGTGAGACAACAGTGAAAAATGCTTCATCAATCTTGAATGATATAAAACAAAAAAGAGAATTTGGGCATTTTTGCTTGAAAATTAATAATTGACTGTAGAAATAATTGTTGATTAACTTAAATCTTGACATTTGAGAAGCTATTGAGACGCATTTTAGGTCAAAATCATGATCAAAATAGTTGCCAATTTATTTTCTGCTGGCTGACTAATCGTTGCCGCTCTACAATAAAACAAAAAACACTCTTTGGTCAAAAGATACAAGTAGATAACACTTTACAAGCCAAAAAAGGTGGGGAACCACTGATCTCGACTGTATTCATATTACTTTCCAAGTAGCAAAAACCTCTGTATCCTATTAGGTTTCTCAGGAGGCAACAAAAAGGTTTCACACATTAAAGTGCAACAAGAGCAAGGCCGAGTTCTAAGTTAGCAGGAAATGCATTGTGTTTCCTTTCATTGACCGGACTTAAAGCTCTTTAAAAGCGAGGGTGAGAAAAACTGCAATAAATTCCTCGCCGTCTCGCCCAATCCGCTTCATTTAATGCGTAACACATTTATACCGATCATGTGTTGTAATACCATAATGTATTGTTGCACCCAGGATCTGGAATGGATCCAAGAAGATTAATCAAATAACAGAATAATCACTACTGCGGTAAATAGTGACGATAATATAAAAGCCACTGTAAAGGTACAAAACAAAAGAACAGGGGTGAGCAGCAGGACAAACCATATGTTACAGACAGCTTGTCTTATTTATCTGATAATCAGCTAATCATGTTGAAATATCAGGCTTGGAAACCAATGTCACTGGATACTGTCTGCATTAAGGTAAACATCCTTGCCTTTATGGTCTTATATCCATTATGACAAATCAAAGATGGACACACTGGTCCTTAGAGATCCTCATACAGTACTCAGAGACTGTGTAACCTCATTTTAACATTGACTTAAATATGCTGTTTATATATACACAAAACACAGAACACTTTGAGAGTAAGCAAGTGACTCATTCCTGTATTATGTTAAATATGGAGATGAAACATTTTGGACTTAAGGCGGACACACAACATGAAAAGAAAGACCATTTGTGGACAGTGTGCAACAACACTGGAATATGGCGATATATAATTTGTACTTCCTGCTGTAAACAATAATTTGGTATAATACATACATACAATCTTCCTGGTTAATGTTATGAAGAACTAAGATTGTTTATATAATGTTGTAAGTGTGTTGATGTAACATTGTCTAGGACATTAACATAATTACTGTTACTGGGCAATTAGCTGTCACACCTATTGAGTGTAATAGCTGCTATTCCAGACACACCTCCCCTTCCTGCTGATGGCTTTAAACCCAGTTTCAAACAGCAGTCATGTCTTTGTCATCATCTGGTGTTTAACTTCTGGTTCCACTGGTATTCAAGGAACCCTGGTTCTCCTACAGATGTATACAGACATCTGGCTCTTCTCACAGGCTGAGACACAAGCTGCTACACAGCTCACTGAACACAGATCAACCAGCTCGCTAGCATGTACGTAAGTCACTCTGTCATTCTGCCAAAGAGGTAACAATAAAAAAGGAGTGCCAACACTTAACTCTCCAAAACCACAAAAAAAACCCTGATAAGATTTTACCCAGTAACATAAATACACTTCATGATACCGGCTCTGAGTAAGAGAGAGAGAGAGAGAGAGAGAGAGAGAGAGAGAGAGAGAGAGAGAGAGAGAGAGAGAGAGAGAGAGAGAGAGAGAGAGAGAGAGAGAAAGAGAAAGAGAGAGAGAGAAAGAAGACAAAGAAAGAAAGAAAGAATGAAAGAAAGAAAGGAGGTACCTCGTCAATGTTGCGCAGCCATTTGCTGATGTTTTCGAAGCTCTTGGCATTGGTGATGTCGTAGACCAGCATGATGCCCATGGCTCCTCTGTAGTAGGAGGTGGTGATGGTGTGGAACCGTTCCTGGCCCGCTGTGTCCCTACACACACACACACACACACACACAGATTTTATTTGCTGGTATTCACTGTTTTCTTGTATTATATCCCTCAGTGACTCAACAATTACTTCACAAGATGCAGAGAATTCCCGCTTTCCATGACTGCAAACCACAACACATATCAGCAACACATCATGAAAGGGTGTATCAGAGATCTGTCAGTCATTGTAATGTAATTCCTTTAATCACCAAAAGAGGCCGATAAAAAGCCTTAAAATATTTAATGCGCCATTAGCGCAATAATAACTCAGAGCTGAAAAAGCATCCGATGATCCCAAGCTCATCTCACACAGAGGAACAACTTTATTTTTAAACTTTTACAATACTTGAGGAACCTGGTAAGCGTTACAAGTCAAGTTGAAACACGCGCACGCACACGCGCACGCACACGGCGAACCATGTCCCCTCACACGTCCGCACTAGCATGCATCTTAACTATGACATTTTCTTATCTGCGGAAACCCTGCCAACATCCATCTATCACTGCTGATACAGGAAAAACAGAGAATAGCCCAGCGGCACCAGACTCACATGAGCAAATCAAACCTACTCCTACAATAGTTGTTTCACTATGACATTCAAAATAATAGCTGGCTGTGCAAAAGTGAGATTTTATTGAGTCTGGTGAGCATGACCACATCTCTGGGTGCTCAGGCTGTGTAGTGAAGATTAAGTCCAGACATGATGTGCTGGGACAGGAGGAGGAGAGAATGTGATGGGGACTGAGACTGAAATAGAGCCACTGAAGAGGTTTAATGGACAGTATCGGGCCAAGTGTGATCAAGTTTCAGATCTAAATCATTATGAGTTTCACATGAGCTGGACAATTCTTTTATTTTGCCATTTTAGAATTGTTATATATGTAAGTTACAGAAGTTAGAGATTTTTAGAGAATAGCATTTAGTATAACTTCTACAAACTTGTAAATTACAGATCCATGATAGTCGGGCACTTCTCCAATATCAAAAGACTGGAAAATTTTTGACATATTTCTAATATGTCCTTCCTGTGCTTTCTCTGGGGTTATAGAGAGGAAAACATACCAAGACAAACACTGTGTCACAGTTTATTAAAACTCCCCATAATGCCTTTAACCTTTGACAACACATCTAGGGTTGCAGTGAATTATTTTATCAATTCATTGTTTGTCCAAAAACAGTCCAAAGTGCCCATTACAATTTCCCAGAGCCCAAGTTGACATATGGATTTAAAAACTGTTTTGTCTAACAAACAGTCCAAAATTCAGACAAATCAGCAAATATTCACATTTTAGGAACTAGAAATCAGCTCATTTTGTCAGGCATTTTTGGTTAGAAATTAATGATTAATCAATTAGCCTGAACAATGAGCCTTAACTGAACACATCTGTCAGCTGAGATTTTCACTGCATCTTGATAAACGTGACTATTCAGCACTATAAATGTATGTGTATTTCATTCACAGATACAGTGTACTGACCTACACTCTGCAGCTTGAATAAACGATAAAAACACAACTCTGATTGAGAATCATTCAATCTCAACTTTGGAGATATTTTCCAAACAATAAACCTTTTCCTTTGACTTCTGTTTCTTCCTCCAAGCTTACACCAAGAATACGTTGCTAAGTAAATATATTTAGGTATAAGTACTAAGTAAATATATGACAAAACTTTGCTGGTTCCAGCCTCTCACATATTGTTTGTCAAATATTTCCTGTTTTAATCCATCTTAAATAACAGTAAAGTTAATATTTATGGGATTTTGAACTGCTGTTTGGACAAAACCATGACATCACATCTAGTTACACCAAATAATGAAACAATAGCCCTTTTTCCCAGAAGCCATTTTGACATAAAATAGTAGGGTAAACAGAGGTGTTACCAATGACACTAATTAAGGTTAAGTTGGCTCACTGCTCTGCTACACTAAATGTAATGGAGCCTTAAGCAGAATCATTGTGTTTACCCTACTATTTTATTAGTGGGTGCTGTAAAAAAGGTCTATTAATGGACTAAATATTTGGAAAATTAATTGTTGGAGCTTTATTTGCAACCTTATTAAACCCTTCCAATCAACCTAAGTTCAATATTCATGTTTCATCGTATCTGCAGAAGAGAATGTTAAAATTTGAGTCATTTCAGTTGGGGAAAGTCCGCTTTTGTGGACAATGATAACCCTGCAGCAGACGGGCCGATGACCATTTCCTGTTCTAGCATATTTCTGGGCTTGAGGGAGGTATGTCAAACAGATGTTTCACTATGATGTAAGGCGCAAACAGAAGAGGCTGAACTAAAAGAGGAGTCTCACAATGTTTGTGTATTCTGCAGCCCTGTACCCCTCCACATACAGAATCGTCACTTGGGTATAACAAACTAAAAAGGTCACGTCTCAAAACAGTACATTGACTCACCAGATCTGTAGTTTGATCTTCTTTCCTTGTAATTCAACTGTTTTGATCTTGAAGTCTATTCCTGTAAAACAAGGAAAAACAGATCAGCGCTACACGTCTATCAAAAGATAAATGAATGACTAGCATGTGAAGCACTGACAATGAGACGGAGATGAATAGAGAGACTGAGGCTTACAAACAGAGACTTATGGCGCTGATGCAAACAGAGAGAAACAGAAACCCAGTGAGAAAAATGGTGATATCAACAATAGAGAATCAGAAAGAGCCAAAGAAAAACATTTAGGAAAGAGGAAATGGAAAGTGAGTGACAAGTGCTTCCATCAGAGAGACAATAACATTATCTCTTCCTGATTCTGCAGTGTCATGCCCAGACCTTGAGCCTATCAGCAGACAGCTGTGGGGATCAGCAGCTGGCGAACAATGGGCATACACACATACACAAACCAGGTTAAGGTAAGAAAACTGACAACATGTTTACATGCACTGCAATAACCTCGTCACTGTTAAACCGGTGCTTAAATGCAGCTCGTTAGAAACACGGCATCATGCATATTTGAAGTCTTTTTGGTTGGAGCATTTGGACTGATGGTGGAGTGAGAGGACAGGCTGTGGTGGGAGAGCACACAGTTTTTCCTACGTGTGCATGTTTGTCAATGAAGACTTATTTCAGTTTCCATCTTGGTTGGGCTTTGGATTTAATTATTTATCATTACAGTACACTCTGCTACGCTTCCTTTCAGGAGGTTAACTGCCATCAAGGCTTTGTTGGCCAACTGTCTCATATTCTATGTTATACTAGTTATCTTTATAAATCTGTTCTTTTTAAGTGCTCACGCTGATCAATAAACACTTCTGCGATGGGCCTAGTGGTGAGCTGACTCACGCTGGATCAGAATTTAAGATTTCTGGTATGGCAAAACTACAAGGTAATGTAATTGTTAAGCATTTAGACATATTATGAGGTTGAAATGATTAGTTGACTAGTTTATCCACCACAAATGCCAAATATTTTCTGGTTTCAGCTCATTCAATGTGATTGTTATTTACTGCTTTTCTCCATTTTCTATCAATAGAAACTGAATATATTTGTGTGCTGACACAAAACAAGATACCTGAATAGGTTACCTTGGGTTCTTCTCTGTCCATTTATCACTGGCATTTGAAATTTTAGAGACTAAACTAGGAGTACCACTATTATATTCATTATGAATTAATCCGCCGATTCTTTTCTTGATGAAGCAATTCATCTTTTTTGTCTATAAAATGTAATAATACCAAAATATGCCCATCACAGTTTCCCAGGGACGCACTCAAATTGCTTGTTTTTTTCCAACCAACCATCTAAAAGCCTAAAATATTACATTTTCTATCATATAGGACAAAGACAGGAAGCACATCCCCTCGTTGCAAATGAAAAGTTGCTTGATTGATTAATTATCAAAACAGTTGCTGATTAATCTTCTGTTTAAATCGACTAAACAACAGAACTGACAGATCAATCGCTTTGCAAGTCTAGAAAATGTAGATGTTTAACAGCTTCTAGATGCGGCAAAAAGTAAAAAACACAAACAATCCTAATAAATAATCGTGTTAGCAATATTTAAAAGAGTAACCAAGATAACCCTCACTGTCATAATCATGAAACCTTTGGGGAGGCCAGTTTAAAAAGGAGTGACTTGTGACTGAAACGAGACAAGAAGTTGTGTTTTTCAGCTCAGTAGTGAGTCGTCAGTTCAGCTTTGGTCAGAAATTGTGGTTGGTTAAAAAAGTCCAAGAAACAGCTGTGCTCTAGGTGGGGCAGGCCCATAGAATAATGAAGGGACTGGCTGCCAATGCGTGACTCACTAAATAATATGCACTCCCCAGAGAGAGGGAGGGCAGGAGGGACAGAAAGATATAGTTATAACTAGAAACAAAAAGAGGCAAAGAGGAGAAGGAGATGAAAAAAGGTTCTGAAGAGGACACACAGCTTACTGTGCCTACATTGATATTTACATCGACGCTGATACATTCAACAGAAGCTAAAGGCGTGCCAAATAAATACTGGGCATAATACAATTATCCAGAACCATTACTTAAAGTTGTGTTCTGAAGAAATCAGACTCAGCGGGGATGACTTCATATTTGTCTTTTCCTGGCAAGGAGTAAAAACACTGAGTGAATCTGTGTGTTTTTCTTCCTGGTGAGGTGCATTGGCAAGTTGTCAAGAAAATATGTGCATTGTGCAATCAGTGGAAAAATGGCCACACTTTAGCAGAAGAGAATGACACTTTCAAACACAGCCAAAACGTGGAATTTGACATCGTAAAAAAAAAGAAAAGGGAGTACGTAGTTTATGGCCGGCTTTTGTTTCCCAGAGGAACCATTCCTTCCACAAGTATGAATTCCACTGTAGCCATCGCCAGTTTCCATGCAAAATTCATGATGTCTTGTGGAAAGAGATTTCAGATTGCAACATCATGCATATTCAGCACTCTTAATATGCATAACCTCGAATATATGAAGGAGGAAGGGCAGCGAGAGATTGGAAATGAGGAGGAGTGACTGATGAGAGAGGGGGGTTTTCCAGTGGGGGTATTTTGAGAAGCAGCTGTGCAAAGTGTCTCCAAAAGGTTTGAGCACTGTGTCAGAGGAAGAACACACTCCTGTTTCACACGTCCTGGTTCTGCTGTTTCTTCTGTTCCTGTCAGACATCAACGGCTGTACCTGGACAATGTGTAGGGCCTCTCCTCGAAAATCATAGAGTTTTTGCAAATTTTGACATTGCTTGATAAGATGGATTCTAGTAATTAAATGATTATGTTTTGTACTTGCACTACAGTATGATAATGTGTTTACTTAAGTAGTTTGTTGCATCCACTAAACTTAAAGACAACGGTAAGCCAAAAGATAAGCACCGTAGCCAACAAAATACTGGGTAAAAACATGAAACCACCAATCATATAACAACAAAAGCAAAAATAGATGGTTGCTGACTTAGAGGTTTGTGTTAATATTTATCAATCACATCTGCAATTGGTTCATGTCATTTTTTTTAGCACAAAGGTAAAAAAAATTACCTGGTTCCAGCTTCTCAGTTATGACTGTTTGCTGCTTGTCTTTGTCTAATGTTACAGTAAACTACCTATCTTTGGGTTCTGAGCTATTGGTCAGACAAAAATCATCTGAAGATGTCACCTATAGAATATGTTTACCTTTCTTCTGACACGTTATATACAAAAACATTATTCTAATGAGGATATCCCAATAATTTCATATATTTACTGTATATTGTTAACAATCAGAAGTCCTTGACAACTACAAGTCCTAATTACATGATGTGCCGACAGACCATGTTCTTAACTCTTTACAGTTTATCACATTGCACGCTGCTTTGTTTTGAATACAGATGTAGAACAAAGACAAGCTGTAGTTTTTAAAATGGAGACAGCTCTTAAAAGGGAATCAGTGAACACATTTATTGAACATAAAGTGAGTAAAATGATGTTGGTCTGTGCCATTTCAGTACATCCTCGCTTACCAACAGTCATGTTTTAGAGAAACTGAGGTGGGACTACCACAAGTGAGCAATGACACAATCGCTATAGCAGGGTCAATTACATTATCCTTCGTGTGAAACAGGTTATTCTAAGGTTTTCAATAAGGTAAGGACCACCTCTGCAGTTGCTGCAAAAGCTCAGATTGAAATACTTGACTTACTACACAACTTGGCAGGGAAAGCACCCCTGCAAGAAACAAAGGTCACTACTGGTCTTTGACTGCTGAAGAACCGTCAGCCCATCATCACACAGCTTTCCCTTGAACTGGCTAAACTGGCAGAGCTCTGATAAAGTGGCTTTGACTCAAATAAGGCAGATACCAGTTGTTACCGTAATTCAGTTTCACATTCAACCTCCTGTATTTTGAGAAACAGGAGGGTAATACAACACAAACATTACGGGCGGATTACAAGACAAACCATTAACCAAAGCATAAACATAAATATGACAGCAAGTTTTGCAACAGAGCCATTGTTCATTGCTGTACCTTATCTAATCTAACCTGGATGCCACTGGGAACACTCGCCCAATATGGATGCCTCGTTCGTAGACACACAGTAAGGAGGAGTTGCCAACACTTAAAGTTACGAAAAGCAAGGGCTTGAAACTCAAGCTCAATCAAAAGATTACAGATATAATTCCTGGGCATTGCAAACGGTCAGCTACATGTGGTTCTGCAAAACACGTCTAATGTTACATTATTACTAAGCACCGATCTTAAGCAACAGGAGTAAATGGAGCCTTCACTCGGGCTGTGCAGGGATTTGACATAGTTTGACACTTGACTCATGTGAGCGTGATGCTGGGACACATGCGTAGAGGGTCAGAGGGGGAAAACAAGCTGATGATGCCACCATGATGAATTGTCTGTGGGAGCAGCCATGGAAAGTAACTACCTGCATTTACTCAGGTAGTTATAAACAAATCAGAGGTACTTCCACTACATTTCAGAAGGAAATGCGGCACTTTTTTACTCCATTAGTCATTTTACAGCTAAAGTCACTAGCTCCTTCGCAGATTCAGATTTCACATACAAAAACAACTGATCATCTTACAAAATATGATCAATTATTCTATGAGTCAAGCGCCAGTATCTTAAGTAGTTTAAATAGCTCCACCTCCACCAGCTACAGTCCATTAAAATGTTGCTTACACATTAATGTAGCAGTAATAGACCAGCAAAATTATATGCATTTAAAATCTAAAACAAGCCATTTTGAACCATTAGTACGTTTCCTTTTAAGTACATTAACGACGCTGCTGGACTTAGTTAGTTTTACTTGTAATTGAGTTATTTTATATAATTTATCTTCAGATTTAATATCTTAACACTGCTTCTGAGGGGCTTTACTTGTGTGGCATCTATCATTTAAAACAAAGATCCAAAGATATTATACTTTTTTCTTTTTTTTTAAGGGTATGAATCGAGGCAGAAACACACACACGTAGTTATAAAGGATAGTCTTTAGATGTAAAGGCCTGTCAGACATACGGGGAGTCAGCTTTTAGTGCTTTTATAACAGCAGCACGGCCCTTGCACTGCCAACCCGGTGCTAGCCTCGTTAGCTCACTAGCCACTGGGTCAAGTGACATGACAGCAATTCCTCTGGCACCTAAACCGGTTTTACCCGACACTGCTGGTAGGATAAAAGCCTAAATATGAACCATGTTTGTGTTTATTAAAGCCACGGCCGTTCTGAAAAAAACAGGAGTTTCTCTTCTTCTTAATGAAGCCGCACAACTAGCCAGCTTCACAGCTAACCCGTGCAGGCCTGGTTTAGGAGAGAGGCAGCCAGTGCACGCTGGTAGCATGCAGGCTAACCAAATATGTCCTGCCTACCGACATCCAGCTGCAGGGGAGAGTCAGGCGAAGTCACCCCAGCTGTCAACCCCCCTCCCCCCCCTCTCCTCCCCTCGACTACAACACCCATAACAACACACCGTCCAGTAACATGTCTTACCTATAGTGGAGATGAAGGTTGTGTTGAAGGCGTCGTCAGAGAAGCGGAACAGCACACAGGTCTTCCCCACGCCCGAGTCCCCGATCAGAAGCAGCTTGAACAGCAAGTCGTACGTCTTCTTCGCCATTGAAAAACAGCTTGCGATCACCCAGAAGATACCCCCAAAATAAAATAACAAAAACAAAAAATAAAAAAAACACACACACACAAAGCAAGATACGCCTAAAGCAGTCCTGTGTGAAGGTCTAGAGCCAGCTCCGTAGCCAACCGGACCAACTGCCCCCGTTTCTCTTCTCACTGTGAACAATCTGGGATTTGTTGATTAGCTTTTGGAGAGCTAGTTGGCTAAAACACCGCCGAGCCCCGCAGACGTGTGCGTGAAGTTAGATCTCCCGAGCCCGACTGTTTCTTCCCCCCCTCTCTTTACAACAGGAGAACAGAAAGCAAAAAAAAAACAGGATCTCCTCCCGTGTGAATCCTCTTTTCCACTCTTTCTTTTCTCCCACACAGTCGGGACAAAATGGCTCCCTCTCTCTCTCTCTCTCTCTCTCTCTTTCTTCAAACTAACGGCGAGCTGATTCAAATTCTCGACACACACACACACCCGTCATGCCAGAGCCCGGGGCCACGAAGCTCGACCGAGAAAAACGAGTTGTAAAAGCGAGACGTTGACGTTAAAGTGTGTAAAGTTTCCTGTCTGTCGGAGTTATTTCGCTTTTATTCGGGAGAGATTAGGACCGAGACACAGACGACCGCCGTCGCCTTCGAATGGGAGCCACCACGGCGACACCCTAAAGGCCCCACAGACCCGCCTTTCGTCCCGCCCCGTCTGTCAAAATCCACGCCTCTGATTGGTCAACATCGCCGTCACTCCGCCAGGCGCCCTAATGCGATTGGCTACCGCCGCATGCATCGAGAGGGTAAAAGGGCGTGGCTTAGAGTGACAGAGAGGGCGAATGTTACTGCGCATGTTACGCGGACATTCAGGCTCAAAGCTCCCATTGCTTCAGCGAATGAAATGTATCCAGTGATCCAATATGGCGGCCGGTTTCTTGCGGATCTTGTTCCAGCCGGGGTGTGTTACAGTTTTGTGGGTTTTTTTTGTTTTTTTTTCACTGCGAGCTGGCATTTTGATGCGGTGACTATCCCCCAGCTGTGAGTCAGGCAAAGTGATGTCATATATAAGTACTTCTGTGCTTGTTAACGGGCGTTTCCCACATCCTCTGTACACTGCAAGAACATTGATCCTCTCAAGTCTTTAAAACACACTGTACACACTGAGAGAGTACGAGCACATCATTACTGTAGGTTCTTCAGAGCTGACTTTCTGTGTGTGTGTGTGTGTGTGTGTGTGAGAGAGAGAGACTTTACTTCTTCCGCCTGTCAGAGCAGTTTGACTCTCAGACACTCTCCTTAGGAATGTGGAGTATGCCCTGCTTTCTACTGCCGAGTTCAGGCTTGCCACAAAGTAGACTAAGAAAGACAGACAGCAAAGATATAAAGAAAAGAGGGATTGAAAAGAAAACTAAGCTAGAGAATAAAGAAGGAATGAACAGTGTTGACCTTATGGTGGCACTAGTGGTGGAAGAAGAGAAGTACTCAGATCTTTTACTATACAAGGAGTGAATAATACACTCTTTTTATAAGTAAAAGTATTATCAGGACAAAGTCAAAGTGTCCTTTTCAGATAAAAATATATACTTTATTGTTGAATGTTGCAGCTGGTAACTTTTAAATAATACACTGCCAGGTAACTTAATCAAGTTTTATTTATTTGTTCTTTATATTTTTGCATTAAATACCATAATCAGAATCTGCAAAGTAACTAGTAACTAAAGCTGTCAGATAAATGTAGTGGAGTAAAAAGTATAAAGTGGCAGAAGATGGAAATGCTCAAGTAAAGTAGCCTACCTTTAAAAGTGCAATACTTGATTAAATGTACTTCCACCACTGCCATCAAATAGTTGGTAACGTATCCACCAGATGTCAAGATATTTTCACTAAAAAACAAAAATGTAAACCTCATGCTCGTTTAAAGGCCCCTCCTCAGGCAGTCGTAAGGAAATGAAGGATGTACTGTATCTAGCACAATGACCAGAGACATCATAATCATCTAATAACAGTCATGTTAAGATATATTTGTTAACAGGAAATTAAAAAATGTATAAATATGAATAAAAATATAAGTCTAATTCAAAGGAGTCTTGCCTAAAAAATAACAAAAAAATAAGAAAAATACACATTTTATTTAACTACTAAGGTGTCTATATATTCTTTATAACTATCAAAAAAAGTGTTGTTAATATAAATACATTAAGGTGAATATCACACGAATATACAGATGTTTTTTCATGCCATGTGTACATACAGATCTTAAGGAAAAAACAAACATGTTAATCCTCACAGGGCCATGAATATTGTATTTAATACAAATCCATCCAACGGTTGATGAGATATTTCCACCAAAGTAGAAAGTTCACAGCCGACAGCGTGACCAAAAAGCTGCAACCATCTTAACACAAACCATCCGATACGAATCCTAAAACAGATGGTACAGAGGTTAAAAAGGTGACACGGAGCAGAAGTTTCCATGGAGTTTCTTTTAGGCTAAATAAAGAACAGCTTCATTTTGGTTTCAGCCCATATTTTAATTGTATCTCTGACCCATATCTTCAATCTTCAACACTTAAGTAACCTGTGTTAAGCCAATAAATCATGTTGTAACACACACAAAAAAAAAAATCCTCCCAGATCAGCGTACATTCCTGTATTTTGCTGCATGGGGCCTCGAGGGTTCGTCTCACACTATCACACTAACAGCCAGCAGCTACCACTCTGACTCTGTTCTGGCAGTGATACGCACATTTAAGTGAGGAAATCTGTCTTCACATGCATCTGTTTGACAAGTAAACCAGATGGGCTTTTAAAGTTTTTATTTTAGGGCATTTTTGGGGGCCTTTAACGGACAATGGACGATTGAAACTGTGACAGGAAACAAGGAGAGGCAGAGAGGGGGGAATAACATGTAACTGGGAACTGAGCAACAGTACAGGACAGTGTCTGGTATGCATGTTAATCACTGGGCCACCGGGACGACACCACCAAATGCTAGTCCCACCAATTTAATATATACTACAACTTAAATCAGTCAGTTTATTCCCGAGTTCTGTTTTTTTTGTCTTTGTGATGGTACATTTTTTATCTGTCCTGCTGTTTTTATTCTGTTTTATTTACTCTCGATTTAAAAGTCTAACCAGGGATGTGGGCTGTAAACTAGCTTCAGCTACCCTCAACATCAGTGGTTGTCTCAACCTATTTAGTATCAAGGACCCAGATTAATATCTATCAGGACACAGACTCTATGTAGTCTCAGGGATCCAGTCTCAGTACTGTAGATTGGCAGCTTAACAGTGAAGAGTGTGAAGACTATGAACAGAATAATCATTCTAACTTTTAGTCAATTAAATAATAGTTACATTAAAATATTCCACATATTTCTGGGAACCCTCCTGAAGGGCCCCAGGTTGAGAACCACTGCTCTACACATTACATCTGATGCTTTGATTATCTGTATGGAACAATGTTTATTTGAATGATGAACCAACAAATAAATACAAAATAATAAAACAATGTGGATGAGAATTCCTTAAAGTGCTGAAAAAAATTGAAATTTACTTCAAATTTTCTAGAAAGAATTCTAGAAAACATTCCTGTACAACACATAAACCAATGATTCACTAATTAATCAAGAAGATAATTACCAGTTTAATCCATAATGAAAATAATCATTAGTTGCAGCTCTATACATACGACATTAGCCAGATGCTTTTATTTCGAGCAACAGTGTAGCTTCATTTTCAATACGATCCCACCCTCCCAAGTTAAATCATTTCAGTAATTTGCTGACCGTGAGTGGAAGAGGGACGGGGATAAACCAGCTTCCACTCATTCGGTCCAGATTTCCATTCAGGCCACAGTGTGAGTACTAAACCCTTTTTCAGGTCTAATAGGAAATACAGGACTGAATTCTTGATATATTTAGATTTTTATCTAAATTGTTATTTTCATCAGCAGGTCTAGCTTTTGGAAACACACTCGGAAATGAATGGCTCACTCATATACACTTCCCTGAGAATGACTCATAGAAGGTGACACTACGAGCACCTGAGCCGAGGAGATTTTAGTGAACGTGGGTGCGTGGGTAATTTTCCTAGTTCTGCTCCATGAATTCCCAACAAACACATATTCAGTCATTCGTTACTTGTTGCCTGTGTAGCCAGATTAAACACACACCTTGGTCGGGGGATATGTTAAAGATTATGAAGAGTCTTCTAGCATCAGAGCAATATGTGCTGAATTCCCCATGTGGTTTAGTCTTTCCCCTTTCTGGTTAGTCAGGCCTTCAGCATTAATACAGAACACTGAAATGATCACATTGAAAGAGGAAGAGGTTGCATGGAAATGTTGGCAGCTGTAAAGGGAACCCCCTCGCCCCAGTTATCCCCCAGTTATCCCCCAGTGCCACCTCCTACATCTCACCTGGAAAGTGAAACAGATTTCTCATTTCCTTCCCTGTCATTGACCACCTACAGGTCATAATGTGTTACACACTTATGTCACCAAGTGGCGCTGTTGTGTCAGGTTTAAACGGTTAAATAAGTCTGATGATTCATTTTGCATTTGGACCCCAGTTCTCAGTCTGTCCCGCTTTGAGAGTCCAGTTATGTATATATATATATATATATATATATATATAGAACTGACTGACTGACCTGACTCCTGACTGACAATATTATCCAACAATCAGGTGTAAATCATTGTTTTCCTCCACATGCAAAATATCGACAGCAAGTTTTGAGATAGATATTATAATACTGGTTAATTGGCTCATACAGTGGACCATAAACTCACCTTAACTCAACCTTTCTGGTTTAAATTGTGTGATGTTGGTTTTTACAGTACAAATGTAGTTATTAATGATTATATTTATGGTTATTTTTGATTATCAGTGACTGCAGGTCTGTGCCTTCTTTACCTCGAGCTACAGCTCTGCATATATCAATAAAAGGCAATACTCTAGTTAAAGACAGATTTAGAGCCAATACGAGATAATAACACAAATAGAAAACTAAAAAACACCAAACAGTATTAGTCAATTTTTTTTATTGTAAATTAATAAAAGGAAAAGGTTTCTTGCAATACAACCACCAGACAAACATCAGAGAATAACCAGATTAACATCTTGTTGTTAAACCTAAAATCCACCTTAAAATAAAACTGACATTGTGTTGTTTAAGTGCTGTTCCTGGATAGCTAAGATATTATCATCAAACACAAACCGACTCCCTGAGGGACAAAAGCAGCTGTGTATCAACGGTATTTCAGTTACAAAAAAGGTTTACACTTACACCTTTATCTGTTTGTGGGTGAAAAAAGTTCACACAGAAACTAAGATGTATGTTTGAATCCCAGGTCCCAAGTTACAGTGCAAATAAATAAGTATTGAGTAATAGATTTCTTTACTGTATTTGTAAAACAAGTAATCAGTTATGAATACATGTCTCTAATTGTGGGAAAAATCAACAGTGTAAAATGTTTATAACCATAAAAAGACACAAATGTTGCAGTTACATTTGTAAATTGAACCCACAGTGAGTCCAGTTGAGGAGTTGGTGGCAGCCTTGGACAAGGAGCCACTCGACACTCAGACGAAACTCCATTTCCCATGATCCTCTGTTCCGCTCCGCAGTGATGTGGGGTGTGGTGGTTGAATGACTCTGTGTGTGTGTGTGTGTGTGTGTGTGTGTGTGTGTGTGTGTGTGTGTGTGTGTGTGTGTTGCATACAGGAGGGGAGCTCTTGTCTCTCCGCGCACACCGAGAGCCGCAAATCCACTTCGGAGCATCAATGAGCGGAAGGACCGGAGGGTGCGGACAGACGGTCTGTAGCGGATCCACCGGGCGAGTGAAATCAGGACGACGTGAGAATGATGTCTGAATGTTTTTATTGTTGGATTTCTTTTTCACCGAATGAATCCGGACGCGTAGCGGGACCGCAAAGGAGCGTCGATCCAACGCGTGAGAGCTGCTGACCGTCCGTGTATTTGTAAGCTGTTACAGACAATAAGCAGAGGAAATTACCCATTAGACACAGTGGCATTTCATCATCTGTGCTGGTTATTATAGGAGTCTGTGTTGTAAAGCACGGTGTCAATGCTCCTTTATGATATGATCAAGAAGCCATACTGAATTTGTTATTAATAGTTCAAAGAAAAAGAAAAAATCAATGGTTACACAATTGACAGGCAGACAGGAGATTGAAGGCAGCATAAAGGTTTCCGGCTCATTTTGATTTATATCATATAAATTGTCCTTTTTGTTTTATTACAACAAGAAACCGAAGCCAGTCATGTCAAAGAATAAGAGCAGCGAGTCGGTAAAGGTGGTAGTTCGATGCCGCCCTTTGAACCGGAAAGAGGAGTCCAATGGGCCTGCAGGGGGCATCATTCAGATGGATGTGCGGCTCGGACAGGTGATCCTGAGAAACCCTCGAGCGCCAGTCAGCGAGCCCCAGAAGACATTCACGTTCGATGCGGTTTATGATGCAAACTCCAAGCAGCGGGACCTTTATGACGAGAGCGTTCGGCCGCTGATAGATTCAGTTCTCGCAGGGATCAATGGCACCATATTTGCGTACGGGCAGACCGGAACTGGGAAGACGTACACCATGCAGGGGGCATGGATGGACCCAGAGAAACGAGGCGTGATTCCCAACGCTTTCGACCACATCTTCACACACATTTCCCGCTCCCAGTCTGATAAGCAGTACCTCGTGCGGGCGTCCTACCTCGAGATCTATCTAGAAGAGGTTCGGGATCTTCTCGATCCCAACCACGGCAACGCCAGAGCCCTGGAGCTCCGGGAGAGTCCAGAGTCTGGGGTGTATGTGCGTGACCTCACCTCGTGTGTCTGCAAGAGCATCAAGGAGATCGAGGAGGTGATGAACATGGGCAACCAGGCGAGAGCGGTCGGGGCGACAGACATGAACGAACACTCATCTCGGTCCCACGCCCTGTTCCTGATCACAGTAGAGTGCAGCCAGCCTGGACCAGATGGGAGGAAACACATCCGGGTCGGCCGCCTCAACCTGGTTGATCTGGCTGGCAGCGAGCGCCAAGCCAAGACGGGTGTCCAGGGAGAGCGCCTGAAAGAGGCCGCCAAGATCAACCTTTCCTTGTCAGCTCTGGGGAACGTGATCTCAGCTCTGGCAGACGGGCGCAGCAGCCACGTGCCGTACCGGGACTCCAAGCTGACCCGGCTGTTGCAGGACTCTTTGGGCGGGAATGCAAAGACTGTCATGGTTGCCACCTTAGGCCCGGCCTCCCAGCACTACGACGAGACCCTCACCACCCTCCGCTACGCCAACCGGGCCAAGAACATCCAGAACCAGCCCAGAGTCAACGAGGATCCCAAGGATGCTCTGCTGCGTGAGTTCCAGAGGGAGATCGCTCGCCTCAGGGCCCAGCTCAACCACAGGAAGTGGAGGAGCAAACAGAAGAAGGAGCAGGTGGACGGCGAGGGCTGGGAGCAAGACGGGGATGAAGAGACAGAGGGTGAGGAAGAGGAGGGGGTGGAGAAGGAGGCGGAGGAGTACGTGAAGCTGGAGGAGCAGCGGTTGGAGATGGAGACGGAGGCCATCAGAGGGGATCAATTCATGTTGGCTGAGGAGAAGCAGAAGCTCCTGGGAGAGAAGGAGAGGATGATGGGAGATCTGAGGAAGGAGCAGGAAGCCACCGAGCAACTGACCGCCAAGTACAAGGTGAGAGCTCGAACCTGTGAGTCCAGTCTGTAGCTTCATTCATTCACACACACAATCCAGGAAGTCAGATTAAGGACATGTGGTCCGAGGGATTATCATGTGTGATAATCTGATGAGCCGTTAGTAAAGGACATTATGGACACTGAGAGCTTCGTATCTAATTACATCTGAGTGTGTGTGTGTGTGTGTGTGTGTGTGTGTGTGTGTGTGTGTGTGTGTGTGTGTGTATCATAGAGATCAGACAGTACTCCTGTGCATTACACAGACTACATTACAAACAAACTGTGCACTCCTGACATTAAAGGTCCAGTGTGTGGGATTTAGTGCCATCTAGAGGTGTAGTTTTGCTCCTATCTACAGATATGCTATAGAAACATGGTGGTTCAACATGGCACCTCCATGGAAGGAGATGGTCTGTAGATGAATTCTAACGAAAACATTTCTTATATTCAGTTGATTAAACTCAGTTGAAACATACCTATGGATATTATATTCCAGTTCTGCCAATAGATCCTCCTAAATGTCACACACTGGACCTTTAAGTGTGCGACAGATCAGGTTTTGATATCAGATATTAGAGAAAAAGGAACTCTTTCTATATTTGGGTGCAGCAGAGGCTGAAATATCCCAACCTGTGGTCCACAGTACCAGTCAGCACTTCATCAAAAAACCATATCCGACATTTCCCATAATGTCACTTGATAGCATCTCTTCATTAGACCCTCCCAGTCTGGTAAATATCCATACATCAGATTTATTAAGCAAGCCTCCAAACAAGACAAGAAAATCCTGGTGAGATTATAAAGACTGAGAAATACTCATCATGACTACTAATACTCCAAATTATCACCATCTGTAAGTCTTTATTTTAGACTAACAACACCCTGAAGTCCAGAATTGGTAAGTCTGTGTGCAAAAGTCCTTCCTAAACTCCCAAAATAGTGATTTACTACATCTGGTTGCAACCATTAAAAAATAAGAAATGTCTTAGCTCTTAAAAGACTTGAATAATGCATAACTCTGGTTGCTAGGATACAACTGTGGCACCAGCAGTCACCTATGGAAACGGGAAATCACTGTAGCATCACAAGTCGCAGCATAAATTATATATATTTAACTCAACTATCAATCCTTCGTAAATGTAGGTACTAATGTAGGTGTTTTATTTTTACATGCATGGGTAAAGAAATAAGTGTGTTTTAGAGTTGGTAGTATTCACAGATTAAGATGATTATGTTAACCTTACTGACGTCATTTTGTTATTTTGTGGTATCAAGTTTGCGAAATTCAAATTTTAATTTCATTATTAAGCAGTTTTTATCAAGTGTCCATATTCCACATAATCTCTTGTAGTCTAAACTGGTCGTATATTAGCAAACTAACTAGCTAACTAGGTGGATTGTTTTGTTTGTTCAGTGAGGCAGACAGCAGTGACCCCTGGGTACAAAAAGTACTGAGTGACAAATAATAAAGATCAATAGATATATTCGAGGGTCAGTTGAATCATTTTGTTGTTCCAGGCTTTTCTGCATTAACAGAGCTTCAAACCCACAGAGGGATAGTCTTTCACTGTTAATGTTTTTACACTATTATTCCATCACTGTAACTCAATAACATAACACAAGGCGACTCTGTGGTAACAACTGGAAATAAAAACTAAACCGACTCTTTTATTAGAAAAATCAAACACACACTGTGAGTAGCTTTATTTCAGTCAGATAGACGAACATCACATGTTCATAATAGACTCTAAAGACGTAAACTGTACAATAATCCTTATTATTAATTACTTGTAGACTTTCTACAGATTATATTGTAGATGTTTCACCTGGTTGATCGGAAGCTTGAACTCTTAAACAGCCGGTGTGACTCCAGCACCAGCGGGTCCAACGACTGGTTCTGTGTGTTTGCTCTTTCTCCACAGTCTGGTTGGTTGTCTCATATGTCCAGACAGGAAACTGGTGACCATTGTAGCTTAAACTCAGCCAGTCCTTTCTTTGTCCTTTAACACTCACAGGCAGCAATCAAAGACTGAGTCACAGCTGAATTAATTAGTTGCTCTGATTCACGGGCATATCCCGTCAAATAAGTCACCCGTGCAGATTGGCTGAGTGACTACAGTCTATAATTGTGTAGCTACAGCCTGGACCATCAAACATGAGACACTACTGGATCAGCTTACTGCAGTAAACAGCCCAGAGGCCCTAATGTGAGGAAATGAGAGGAGGAAAAGGGATATTTTCAGTGTATGGGTACAATAGAAGGGCAGCTTGAGGTTGTACCAGTATCCTCTTTTTCTGTTATGTATTTGGTGATGTGCTGCGTATTCTCCTCCAACCTACAGTGCCTTTAACTCAGAGCAGAGGTGTGAATCAACTTGATGTATCCAGCTGTGGGTAATATACAGGAGGGAGCAACCGGAGAAGTGTGATAAAAGAGAGACATTGTCCAGTTCACAGAAGGTTACAGTTTATACTCATGTCTCGCTGCATTGCATTCTGGTCCATTGGAGCTGTTGTCAGTGGACAAATTGATTTGTTTGTCTCTTCTACGATAGATTTCTTCCATGTAGGGCACAATGTTTGAGCTCAATATCAAATAATAATAAGAAATAATTCTATTAATACAGATATTGATGGCAAATGTATTCAAACTCGCATATAGATCTGATTTATTAAATTAAATGTGTAAAAAACTAATTTAGTTCATTTTTAATCACAATTTGGTTGAAATCGGAACATGATGCAATCATATTATATGTAGATATGATATCACTAGAGGTCAATAATATTGAACCATCACATTAAGTTTATTATTAAGAGCTGTTTTCATGTTTTCTCATAAATATCATTAATTGTTCTTTATAAAATTGACACATTAACACATTACAACCCCTCGCATAACGCCTTAAATTTGGTTTCATTTTCTTTTTATTTATTTCATCTTATATAAGACATTAGACCTCACCCCATCTTTCTTTTGTCTGTTGTTGAGAGTATTTTTCTCCGTCTTTCAATAAGGAAAATAACTATTTGTACCCATAAATACTAGATATATTGCCAAGGAAATACAGTTTTAAAACGTTTGAGGGGGTATTTCTCACACATATCTAAGTATTTATGTCCTATATGAAGGTAACTTATGTGAAGGATTAATAGGGTTTGTAGCAAATAACAGGATAAACCAAACTGAGTGTCCATAGTTGTGTATTTACGATGTATTTTGTGTAATAAATGCACACTGCAGCATACACTCAAAAGAAAATGTCTAAAATCCCTCATATTGGCAGAAATATTAGTGCCAACCTAGAGGAAACTCATTTAAAGAGCAGTGTAAGCACTCTCCAGGTTCTGCTTCATCAGTAGGATGTGGCACTTTTTCTTTCTAAGTGAAGGTCTGAGGACTGGGGAAAGTCCCACAAGACAGAGGTAACGTATATCCTGCTTTCATGTACGTTTCTCTGTGAGGCATCTCATATTTCTCCCCATTACGCAGTCCTCTAAAGCACCGCAGGGCTAACGCTGTTTTGTGCTAACCCTTATCAAATCTGTGATCAGGCAGCACAGTTCAGAGGGTCTTTGCTGGTTCATGTGCTTGATGCTGACTGGGTGGCTGCTGGGTGATGTCAGTGCGCAGAATCAGCCTTCCCTCTTTTCTTTCTCCCCCCCGAGGAGGAAGATGATAGAGGACAAGAAGTATTTCCTGCCTGTGATGCGTCAGTCTGTCGCTGTTGGTGCATAACTTCGAAACTATGTTTGTCATGCAAGATACAAGTTAATTAGTTTGTTCCAGGATGCAAACATTTAAAGTTATGTAATTTTTATACTGTCAACAAATCTCATGAAAAGACCAAAACCAAGTGTTGTCTGTGTAGCCTGTATGTGTCATGTAGGTTCATTATTGTCCAAAAACAATAAAAAATACATCAATGAGGCACATTGTGTCACTGGGTGACATGTTCCTTCATTATCATGAACATGGTCACTGTAGTTTATGAGTCAATACCACACACACACACCCTTCCTGCTACTGTCAATCCTCTCTAGACCACTAAATGTGTATAAAGCCGCTGAAAATAGTCCCCAAACAAATGCACAATTTACTCTAGTCTGATTAAAGTAGAAGTAAAGTAGAAACTACACTGCTCAGCTGTTTTTAAACATAAAACAATGTATTAATGACTCATTTTTTTTAAAGATTTACATCTTCAGTCAGAATGAATTAACCTGGTTCGGGAAGTCAGAATCACGTGTCTCATGTTTAGGTCACAGGTCACCATTTTATATGATGTAAGACATGTACGAGGATCCGTTTATGTCTATTTGGAGTCTTCAGCTCAGTGCTGTTGTCTTAATTCAGGCTCTAAAATCTTGTTTGCTGTACTCAAAGCTATTTTAGAAAATAGGATTCTGGGTCTTTTCTTTGGTCTGGGAGGGATTCTGGGTGAATTTGTTTTTATTTCCATGGCTAAATGTTGACATGTGATTGGGTCATGTTAAGATATTTCCAAAACAGGTACAACAGAGTGAAGCGTAGATGATGCGATAGGCTGATGGGAAGATCATAAAGTAACTCGATAACGGAATAATCTGCACTGAGCATTACGCATTGATTGTATTTGAGAGAATATAATAGTCATATGTATGTTTTCATTAGTGTATAATCACCTGAATATAAGAATCATTGTGTTTTTGTTTCATTAGAATGAGCTGTTTTTATCTACAGAGAGGTTGTCCACAGAGTCCGCCATGTTGAACTGCCATCTTTCTACAGTAGCCCGGAACGGACAAACCAAACACTAGTTGTAGATAGAGCCTTTCACGTTTTCCACGAGTTTCGTGTCCATCGTAGTTTTTCTTACAAGTTTGGAAGGGGGGGTGAAATTTGTAGATGTCACTAAATCCTACACATTGGTCCTTTAAAAACAGCTATTTCGATAATCGATTAATTATTGAGTCATTGCTGATTCCAGTGTTTCCATTGGGAGGATTTGCTGCTTT